TACCTACATTTTTGCCCTGTTTTTGACACTACTTTTCGTGTGACACAATGAAAATGTACATAATATACATGACACAAAGGTAAACAACGTATTATTTACTGTTCGCATATTGCAGACACAACATTTTAACCCCACACTTATCAGTAAGTACGTGACTGCCCGAGCGCTGCCCCCCCCTCCTCACTACCCGAGCGCTGCCCCCCCCTCCTCACTACCCGAGCGCTGCCCCCCCCTCCTCACTACCCGAGCGCTGCCCCCCCCCCCCTCCTCACTACCCGAGCGCTGCCCCCCCCCCCACACTGCCCGAGCGTTGCTCCCCCCACTACCCGAGCGCTGCCCCCCCTCCTCACTACCCGAGCGTTGCCCCCCCTCACTGCCCGAGCGTTGCCCCCCCCCCTCACTGCCCGAGCGTTGCCCCCCCCCCCCTCCCCCTCACTGCCCGAGCGTTGCCCCCCCCCCCTCACTGCCCGAGCGTTGCCCCCCCTCACTACCCGAGCGTTGCCCCCCCTCACTACCCGAGCGCTGCCCCCCTCCTCACTACCCGAGCGTTGCTCCCCCCACTACCCGAGCGTTGCTCCCCCCACTACCCGAGCGTTGCTCCCCCCACTACCCGAGCGTTGCCCCCTCCTCACTACCCGAGCGTTGCCCCCCCCTCACTGCCCGAGCGCTGCCCCCCCCCTCCTCCTCACTACCCGAGCGTTGCCCCCCCCCCTCCTCACTACCCGAGCGTTGCCCCCCCTCACTACCCGAGCGTTGCCCCCCCCTCCTCACTACCCGAGCGTTGCCCCCCCCCCCTCACTACCCGAGCGTTGCCCCCCCCCCCCTCACTACCCGAGCGCTGCCCCCCTCCTCACTACCCGAGCGTTGCCCCCCCCCCTCACTGCCCGTGCGTTGCCCCCCCCCCCCCCTCCTCCTCACTACCCGAGCGTTGCCCCCCCCCCCCCCCCCCACTACCCGTGCGTTGCCCCCCCCCCCAATAACAACACTAGAATTACACAGATCCAACAATCAGACACACCACTCTGCTAATCAGTGACTGATTGCTGCTTGACTTCTAAACGCACGCTGATTGAGCTTCTATTGACTGGAACTTTTCGAACATGCAATGTTTTCTGTGTTGGAAAGGTCACGTGACTTGTACGATAGCCCACGTGACATGTGCAATAGCCCACGTGGCGTTGTTTTATGTTCATGCTAAGTTTCGTGTGCACGTGTTTACAGAACACACTGTTAATAATACATATTATATTAATACATGATACTTACTTTGGAGTACAATAGTTTATCTCAAATTAGTTATTTGAGTTCCGTGGAATCTTGCTGTAAATTAAATCTAATATGCAATGTGTATTGTGAAATATTTCATTTTCACGGCTATGTTAATACATGATACTGACTGTTACTTAACATGAAATATTTCTATGTTGATCGCGGGACCCTGCAATAATGTATATTTAATCACAACTAGAACATTAATTCCTTTTTAATACTGCCTTTTTAATACCACCTTTAAATACATATTATCACATACATTATACAAACTAATATAATATTGTATTGTAATCTGTACACGCACAGGGAAATGTCAACTCCGTATGAGGGGGATCGTTAATAGATATTAAATCTTACGTAACAAAACAACACATTACTTTATAAGATAATTATATAGATGATTATATAGATAATTATATAGATAATTATATAGATCACCAACTGGACACGTTATTGACCGCTCTTGGAAAGGTCTTTGCTGATGGCACGAAGCTTATTTAAGTCAAAAAAGTTATGGAGTGTTATAAAGTTGTTGTACTCTATAAGTGTATATTCACCTACAAGCATAACTGCTTGGCGTGATGAGGTACATCTTTGATTGGTCGAAGGTCTTTCAACAACACAGCATCATCACTTTCATAGTAGTCCCCGGCTTATGACGGGTTCATAGCGGTATTAAACATGTTTTTCTGGGCCCAAACATTCTACGCTCCTACTATGCTATTACTGGTCTCTTGACTAACTCCCAATCATCTGTCCATATGGTATTGTTTCTGGACAAATAGATGGTATACGATGCCCTCAGGCTGATCTCAGCGATCTTCATGCAGGCCTTCTTCTTCTCTTTGTTGTTTACGTTCAGGTGGTTCATAAAGGTTGGGAGGCTATAGTTGTAAATGCCTCGAGCTCCCACTTCTACTGTCTGGAGCTTGCAAGCCCATCCGTTGGCTTCTATCTCTTCTGTCAGCTGCTGATATCTCTTCATCTTTCGCTTCTCTTGATCAGCAAAGTTCTGCTCATTTCCACAAGTCAGCTCCATTAGATAAACCTTCTTTGCTTTATCTGAATAGATCACTACATCAGGTCTTAGTGGTGTAGCTGCAATGTGCTGCGGGAAGTTCCTCTGTCTCTCATCCTCATCAAATATTATCTTCCAGTCGTTGGCATCTGAAAAGAAATATCTTTGGGTCTTATGATGAGTTGGGTCAGCTAAGGTAACCTTCTCGCGCTTATTGCCTGCCTTGTGAAAGACCGACGGTGCCCTCTTCGATTCCTTGGCGATGTCGGAATTAAACTCTTCAATCTGTGATGAAACGGTCTTCATGATTTCACGTAGGACCTGATCATGGCGCCAGTTGAAACGTCCCTGTCTTAGTGCAACCTTGCAGAACGTCAGGATATGATTGAGTGTCCCTTGTTTGCTGCAGAGTTTACAGTTTCCTGAAACGGCTTTATTCCAAAGCTTTAGGTTGCTAGGTGTTGACGCAGTGTCATGAATAGCATTGACATGAAACTTTAACAGTTCCGGACTAAGTTGATAGATCAAGTTATTCCACGTGGTGTCAAATGTCATTGTATTTTCCCATGTGAGAAAGAGGTTTTGCCGCTTTTTGTCAAAGAGTGAACAAATAAGTGTCTCTTCATCAAAGGTCCTCACCATGTTGGTTAGCAGTTTCCTCTCTGATGTGTCCTCATATCTTGTCCCATACCCGAGGCCAGTTGTACCAACTGCAGGTTTTCCAACTAACTCTTGGAAGTAAAGTTGGCGCTGACGGTCTTTCAGCTCTTTGGGATAAGACCACATCTTCTGTGTGTCTGCAATAGCCTTATGGTTAGAGTACACTTTTTTGATGTAGGGGTCACTTGAGTTACAAAGTTGGTGTCCCTTAATAAGTTGGATGACTTTGTACTCAGTGCAGATGTTTTTCAGCTGCAATCCTTTCTGGTCTCTACTCCTGTAGAGGACGGTGGTGGTACAAGGATGCGCAATCCCTAGCCACTTCTTAAAGTATCTGTTACACAGTGCCTCAAGCTCTCTCACAAATGTGATGGGTAGGTTATAAACAGTAAACCCCCATGACATCTTACTAATGATGAGGTGGTTATACACCCACGCCTTCATTGGACCGGTGATTTCATCATTAGACGTTGTTTCCAAAAGGTCCTCTAACTTCTTCTTGATCATGGACCGAATTTCCTTTACCTCAAGATCTACATACATGTACATTCCTAGGAACTTCATTGGTGCTTGGATAATGGACGGCACCTGTTGTTCGCTTAGTACAAACTCTGCATCATAGGTATTGTACTTTCCTCCAGTACACTTCATAGACATAGACAGGCACTTCGATGGTTTAGCCTTCATTTTCTTCGACCAGTCCAGGAACTCTTCTACTACCTTCAACATCTTCTTCATCTCCTTCTCGCTCTTCGACAACAGGGTTAGGTCATCAGCAAATGCTTTCTTTGAGGTCTTGCTATCACTGAAGCTTGGCTCATACCCAACTTGACTGCACAGTACAGCTAGAAGTTCCAGTAGGATGTTGAATACTATAAGGAACAGGATCACGGACAGTGGGTCTCCCTGGAACAGGCCTAGCTCATACCAGAATGTTCTGGATGTCCATTTCCTGCACTTAACTAGGACACTGAGGCTTCCATAATACTCTATTATAAGCTTAATGAAGCTTTCAGGTAGGTGGTACCGGCGTAGGGCATAAATAATAAGGCTGTGCGGGACTCTCCCATACGCATTCATAAGGTCAATCCAGATCACGTGGACTTGTCTTCTGTGGCTTTTAGCATCTTTAATCTCTTCAAGGAGGGCTTGAGTGTGTTCTAGGCAACCAGGGGTTTTCTTCATGAAACCTTTCTGTACTGAGGTGTCAATGAACAGATTTCGTGTCATGTGCTCAAGTACACGGTCTCCCCAGATGGCAAAGAACAGCTTCCCACTACAGTTTTGGAGTGTGATGTTACGGAACTTGCCAGGATCTTTTAGATCATCCGTTTTAGGAATTAATGTACTCACTCCCACCTTCCACTGTGGGGGGACAACTCCTGTTTTCCAAATCCTGCATATCAGATGGTGTAGATGGTGACTAAAAGTTCGACACTTTTATATCACTTATATATACACTTGTATATCTTTTACGTTTTTTGCGGAAAGTCTCGTTAAAGTTGATGCCGTGGTGTCAGTAAAATGGTACGGATAAACACATCCATCTATTTATTATATCGTCTCGCTTTATATATACTAGCAGGAACCCGTCTAACCCTAAAGTGGTGTCAAGACTCGACAGACTAAAATAATTATTACCTATTTAATTCGCATTTTTGACACCACTTGAGAGTCCAAATTTTGGGCACTAAAATTATTATTCCTTGGCCAATTTTTTATTTTTTCATGCTGATTTGAAGGCCATTAAAGCATTTGACCCAGTCAAAAAAGTTTCAGTTGTATATATGTTTTACGGTTTTTGCGGAAAGTCGCGTTAAAGTTGATGCCGTGGTGTCAGTAAAATGGCACGGATATATACACATATATATATATATCGTCTCGCTTTATATATAGTAAGATATATAGTAAGATAGTAAGATACATAGTTCCCGGAAATCATCAGTTTTCCGGAATAAACAATTCCGGAGTCCGGAATTTCACAACAAACTCTAAAATAAGTTACATTAATCATCACTGTAACTCGCTGGAAGAAAGTAGAATTAGTAACCTTGGGTCCAATGCCGGGTAAGGACGTTAGTCCCTCCACCGTGTTAGGAATATCATTATCATACTCAGTGTGTACAATCCGGGAGGCGTTCTTTATATACGTTGCTTTCTTCTGCAAATAATAGAGATTAAGTTATGTTTTTAAACATTTTGATGAATACATTAATGGTTTTGAAATTTTAAACATTTTGATTATTAAGTTATTACATTAATGGCGTTTAAATTTTAAAGATTTTGGCGACATCGCTATTTTCACCCGTGATTTTAGCTTCTGGAATTTCTCAGATATGTGGCGAAAATGAAGGAGAAAATTGTTGCTTATTTTCGTCATCACAAAAACCGGAAATTACCGGAGCAGACACATTTATATAGCGATGACTCCACCGGCCGAGCCTCAATAAGCGTAATGAGAGGTGACATATACGTGTAGTTGATGCGGGGTCGCACTTTTCCGCACCACTAGCCGATATTCGTTCTATCAGAGTTGTGCACTTGGTAAGTTGCTATGTACAATAAGAAAGATGGACAAGTTTTTACATTTAACAGTAATGTTTGAGTAAGGAGAAAGCGTAAGTACGGAAATAATTTATTATAGAACTTTGGAAATGAATTAATTAACCGTTTAGAGGTACTTTATTCTTATTTAATATCATTATTATAATATAATATGCAATCGTAAACTACTCTCTCCAGAACTTAAGTACTCAAATTTACTATTAATTACAAATTATAATATCTCTGTCAATACACAGGAGCCCCGTGTATTAAGTATTTCCAGTGATTGATCGGACCTATATAACTGTGGTATTTGTTTTTTTAGTTTTTGTGAAATATATCAGTGTATATATAAATAATATATCACTATATCAGTGGGCGTGTATTGTAAATAAGGAATAAAAGGGCATTTTAAATTCAATAACTTAACTCTATACTTATAATTTGGCTTTTTAAATGGAGAAATGTTCAAATTTTTGCCTAGAGTACTTTTCTTAAAACGCTGTTTTTGTCTGTTATCACGTGATCAGCTCTAATACCAGTACAAAGAACCCAAAATTATGTTTTATAAGAAAGGTTTTATATACAAAGGTCTTATAAAAGTGGAGCTCTAAAGTTTATGTTAAATTTATAATCATAATTACATAATATACATACATAATTATACATAAACTCATATAAACGGTTACGACATAATTTATGCCGGTTTTACTCATGTTAATTATCTTAAGGAACGTGTGGTGAGAATCGTTTAAATCACAATAATTCGAATGGCTAAACTCATCAGTTATAATATACATTAAATTAATGATGGGTTAGATTGATTATACTAGTATATAATATTACTAAAAGATACTAAAATAATACAAGTCGGGTAGGCGAGGTGTGACTAGCAGTTCTAGTCACATTATCACGTGACTAGCAGTTCTAGTCACGTGATCATGTGAGGTTTTACCACATTTAATGGAACCAGTTTTAATAGAACTCACTATTAAATTCTATATCATATCCCATATTATTACTACTACTATACATTTCATTATCGTTCGCATTAAATAAGACTGTCACTAAGTGGCTTTCTCTAGCAAGTTCTGAGACTCAGGTAAACCTTCCAATCCTACCCAGAACCATGAATATTCCCGGTACAACACCCGGGTGAAAGTTGCACAATCTTATTATCATAAAATCATAAAGTCGTGTTAATATGTGATATCTAGACACGGTAGAAATATCTGGGGTAATGAGATTGGGAGATATAGCAGGGTAGACAAGGTAAAGTAGACAAGGTAAACTGGTAATTAACAGGTTATCTTAAGTGTAATACCATTTTACACTATCTTCCACTGTAAACTTCCACCGTTTACCCGGATAATTATAAAACTGTCGTTCAGTGTAAATGTGCGAGGGAGAAAAATACATTTCTGTCTATTTTTGTGATATAAATTCCCGTAATATGAAGAAATGAAGAAAAAGGTGGAGCTACCAGAAATACCGTCTCGCCTCGTCTCCCCCTACCAGTCACACTTAACTCGGTTACAACGATTCTTCTAATCCCTGTCCCTAACTGATCGCTCTCTGCATACACCCGCTCTTATCTTATATACACACCAAATCAGGGCCCATACACCCGCTCTTATCTTATATACACACCAAATCAGGGCCCATACACCCGCCCTTATCTTATATACACACCAAATCAGGGCCCATACACCCGCCCTTATCTTATATACACACCAAATCAGGGCCCATACACCCGCCCTTATCTTATATACACACCAAATCAGGGCCCATACACCCGCCCTTATCTTATATACACACCAAATCAGGGCCCATACACCCGCTCTTATCTTATATACACACCAAATCAGGGCCCATACACCCGCCCTTATCTTATATACACACCAAATCAGGGCCCATACACCCGCCCTTATCTTATATACACACCAAATCAGGGCCCATACACCCGCCCTTATCTTAAATACACACCAAATCAGGGCCCAGGTCAAGATTCATGCGAGATTGTGAGCTAGGCTCATCGCACAAAATTTGTAAATAAATGAGAAAACAGAAAAAGTTTAACTCAAAAGTTGAGGGACACAATAATTAGGAACTTAACGTGTATTTTATACACTTAACGTGTATTTTATCACTTGTTCATAGCGTGAAAACAGGGAGATCATAAGATTACATTGCCAGGATTATCTGCGCTACAGGCCTGCAAGTAACATTCCTTCCCCCAACAACATTCCTTTACATTACTTTGGGGTGCCCGCACGTGCGGAATTAACGAGACACCAGATTTAATTATTGAATTGTGGTAATATGTGAAAATCTAATAAGGTGAAAGGTAAACACGGGTAGAGATAAGGTTACTTGATGCGACTAATGGACGGTAACCGTGGTATCAGCTTTCTCAGCTCTCTCCGAGAGGATGCTTTTAGATCATCAGTGATCATGTTGAAACAATTTAGCATGACGGACTTCAGACTTGGAATAAAATAACAATGGCACGGACAATTAGTCGTTATTATTTAATGATAATGTGATAAATGATAGAGCTAGGCATGATTTTGGGTTTTCAAGAGTTGGTTTTATTTAGTAGCTTCTGACTAATTTGGTCGGCTAGATTCTAGAATTAAAATTATACAGAATTAGAGTAATAAATGAAGATGAACCAAGAATGGTGCCAAAAATCTGGGATATTCGAATCAATCAGCAATTTTCTTTTGGTAATCGGAGAGTTTCAAGTTGCAATTAAAATCATGATCGTCAAAATGTGGCGGTTTTTCGGTCAATATTTTTAACGGTCATAATTTAACCCGCAATGACATTAACGAGTAAGGTAAATAATACACATGTTACGAATAAGTCTTTAGCTTTGATTATGAGTTATTGTTGTTCTACTGGAGTAACATTCACTAACCTATTGAGCGTCATCTTTCATTGCAAGCCAATACACTATAAGCATAGTTAGGATAATTCATAATAATTTTTCTTGGAGTTTGAATAAATGTCAATTTTTGAATTTAAAAACGGGTTTATTTCAGTTTTACCAGAAAACATCGATTATTGTGTTAGTGTTAGATACCAATATCGACTACATATTTTTATTTCAAACTGTAACCAAGGCGAGTAATCGTTAAAGATACAAATTAGGCTAATGGCCGATCATTGCTTGATAATGTTTACTGTACACATATTTTATTAGCTGATCGGAGGTCAGCTTGTGAAATTTGTGATTAATTAATTACGTCATTGTGGAGAATTAACGTTTGTTATTACGAGCTGATGATTGTAAATCTCCGTAATATAATACTGGTGAGGTTGTGAAAAACGGTAAAAAACATCTGAAAATTATTGATTGGAAACCGTTTTGGTTTTCTCTTCGTCGACGACAGACATTTTAGGAGATATCCAGTCCAAATTATTATCAGGTATATCCAATTATGTGTAGTTATGGGGGGGTACCAATGGCATAAAATGGAGACAAATGGCATAAAAATCGTCAAATGGCATAGAAATTTCATGGCATAAATGGAAATTTTGCTTGGCCAATTCTCCATTATGCCATTTATGCCATTGGTACCCCCCCCCCCCCCCCGTAGTTATAGTAATAACAAGAAAAAGAAAAAAGAAAAGAAAAAGAGACTTGGTGCTACTCGTTGGGAAGGTAACACAAGTTTTTTGTCACGTGATAAGAGTCTGATTAGTTGCCTGCTGTCACGTGCCAAACAAATTTACACACATAATATCACAAAGGGGACCTTTACCGATTGTTGAAATTCGACATCTACCGTCATCTAGCGTGAAATGAGGCTAGATGACTCTAGAAGGTACCATTATTCAACAGTTTAACCTAAAATCATTCCGATACTCTTCACACACATAGCAAGGAAAGTTCCCAGAACTAAACTTCATAAAAATCTCACTGCCCCGTCCGCTCTTTTTGACAGGCATTACGAAATAATCTACATTTTCTCTCTCTTATCGTGTTTGTTAGTTTCCTGAGAAATGCTGACAGGTATATATATAATATTTATATTATATTATATGATATATAAAGTACCACGACACATTCACAAACTACAAATGTAAGTGAATTATCCCGAATAGGGTTTAACTACCCACCAGTACCAATAGCTCTCTCTCTCTCTCTCTGTCTCTTAAAGTTACGTAACCTCTCTCTCTCTCTCTCTCTCTCTCTCTCTCTCTCTCTCTCTCTCTCTCTCTCTCTCACTCTCTCTCTCTTCTCTCTCTCTCTCTCTCTCTCTCTCTCTCTCTCTCTCTCTCTCTCTCTCTCTCTCTCTCTCCTCTCTCTCTCTCTCTCTCTCTCCTCTCTCTCTCTCTCTCTCTCTCTCTCTCTCTCTCTCCCTCCCTCTCTCCCTCCCTCCCTCCCTCCCCTCCCTCCCCTCCCTCCCCTCCCTCCCTCCTCCCTCCCTCCCTCCCTCCCCTCCCTCCCTCCCCTCCCTCCCTCCCCCTCCCTCCCCCCTCCCTCTCCCTTCCACCCACCCTCCCCTCCCTCCCTCTCCCTCCCTCCCTTCCTCCCTTCCTTCCTCCCTCCCACCCTCCCTCCCTCCCTCCCTCCCTCCCTCCCTCCCTCCCACCCTCCCTCCCACCCTCCCTCCCTCCCACCCACCCTCCCTCCCTCCCTCCCTCCCTCCCTCCCTCCCTCCCTCCCTCCCTCCCTCCCTCCCTCCCTCCCTAGGGTTGGAGTTAAGCTTACGGTCAGGATTACGGTTAGAGCTAGGGTTACAGTTAGGGTTTTGGGGAAGCGGTAGGGATTCGGACGTAGCCTCCTTACTTCTTACTTAGGTATCAATGTGGATTGTGGGTGCCTTACAAACGAACAGCATGTGTTGTTAGGTTTAATCTGTATTGTTAGGTTTAATCTGTATTGTTAGGTTATCTGTACTTGGCAAAACAACTTGTAAAACTTGTAATACTGCATGGTAAGTGTACGGTGTGTGATTATAAAGTTTGCTTACAAACACCTGCAAATGGTTTAAGGTTATGAGCACTGGAAGAGCTGACATCCACGCGATGAAGTTCGGAGGATAACTGGAAGGTTTCACTTTAAATAGATTAAATATTTATAATATATTTATATGTACTAGAGTTTTGCGATCTCAGAGATGATATTGATCTATGATGTTAAATATAACATTCCACGATCAAGATTGACTAATTAATAAATCATGAACTTTAAATTTTTGTCGGACATAACAAAATCCGGAGTTTAGAATTTAGATATGGACATTTTTATTACTGATTGCGATCCTACAGTACATAAATATTTCTCCATTATATCATAGTGTCTACTTATCTGACTTCTACAAGCGGTACATTGACGACGCCACCAGCACAGCTGTAACAAGAGAAGAAGCTCTAGCACTTGTTCAGAGTATCGCAGACCAGGACCCTGACAAGAAACTCAAGTGGGAGGTAGAGTTTCCGGAGAACGACCAAGAGTTCATCCCATTCCTTAACACAGAGCTTAGAGTGGAACCTGATGGAACTGTGACGAGCCGCTTGTACCGTAAGCCACAGCAGAAAGACATCACACTTCACAAGAATTCATGTCACCCAGAATCTGTGAAGACGAACACCGTGATCAACCTGTATAAAGAAGCGGACAAGATCTCGTCAGGACCTCAGGAGAGAGAACATTCATACAGCATTTTAGACCGTCTTATGACTAGAAACGGGTATCAAACACCCAGAAATTATTCCAACAGACGTCGTAGTAGTATTAGTAATAGAAATAGGGAGGATAACAGAACAGTGCTTAAGTTAGATTTTATCTCAGACAGTATCAGTAACAGAATTAGGAATCATATTAAACAGAACAATTTACCTATTAAAGTTATATTTTCCCCAGCTAGAAAACTAAGAAATATTGTGTGTAATAACAGACCGTATGATAAGAGAACCTGTATTATTAACTCCTGTAAAATTTGTCCTTTATTAATAACTGAAAATAAAGATTGTGAGGTGAAGAACGTTGTGTATAAGATTACCTGTAAAATCTGTAATAATATTTATATTGGTGAGACGTGCAGGAGGGCACATGATAGGCTCGGAGAGCACCTAAGATATGCTAAATTTCCTTTAACTCCTTCTAACACTAGTCAAGCTTTTGCTATTCATTATAACAGTTTACATAGGGGGTCAGAACCCAATTTAGAATTTGAGATTTTAAAAACAGAAAGCAACACAGCTAGAAGAAAGATTGCAGAAGCAATGCTTATTTTGAAGTTCAAACCTAACATTAACAAGAGAGATGAGTTAGAAACAATCAAACGTTTTTTAGTAACAAGTACATAATAAACAGGGTGTAACATATTGTATACTTTACAGACAGGGGATTGTCTACACATATGTAGTGATTTTTAGTGATATTTATAGGTTTTGTTTACTTTCTGAGTACAGGGACCACATCTCACACACGCACACTTCCGCCTCCTATTCAACACACTACCCTTACAACATCAATCAAACCATATTAGGCTCCCACGTTTCACACTTCTCATTGGTCAGTACGATTCCCGCCATTTTCACTCCACACTAGATACATACCTACACACTTCACATCATGCACCTGTTCACCGTTGTAGCACTCCATGCTTCTGTATCATGTGTAGTATATTTAGTAGTAGTTTTAGGAATGTACAGTATTTACTATAAAAGTTTGTCGTCGTATAAATTAGTTTTGTTATGAATTTTGTTATGACTTTTTTGTATCGAATTTTTGGATAAAGTTGATTGATTAAAAATAAATTAACGTACACAAATTTTGCCTCAGATATATGTTTTTTACGTTTTGAATTTTTAACACTTGTTTTTAGATCATGAATACGATGTAGTTACATTGAAACGTCGAGTAATCTCCTTTCCCTAATAAGAGCATTTTTACTTGTCGCAACAACCGGGATAAAGATAATTTTACCCAGAATACATAGTGTGAAGGCAGTATAAGTGAATACCGACACAGATATCTACCTTTTAATGTTCGAAATAGGGCAGAACTTTCAATCACATGTTCAATCTAATTATATTAGGAATCTTAATTCATTACAGTATATTATTATAATAGTAATATTGTAAGTATGATCTACTGTAGTCACAAACCCGATTACCAGGATTTACTTAATAAAACAAACTCGTTAGAGCGATTATAATCATGCCATATAAGTAATGAACACTCCAAACTGTACCAATTATCATTACCGTTCCAGATACAAGTAATATATATACTCTTGCAGCGTGTACGAGCTGGTATATATACTGCACTACTAGTTTCGTTATATTGAATCAAGAGACACGACCAACCATCTTCACTGGTCTCATGTCACGTGACAACCACGTGGGCTGCACGTTAGCACGTATATACTGAGCTGGTTATCCAATCAGATTCCAGGAAACTGCCCACGTGTGACGTGTCACGGACCTGATTGCCACGTGACTGTGCTCAATTCAATATACCACGTGGGCGAAGGGATCCAATCAGGAGTTGTTTACTAATAGCCCTAGTATTCTCAATAAACAATTTAGTGAACCAATTAGGAGGCAGGAACTGGGGTCACGTGTCGGGAGATGTCCAATCAGGCGTGATATTGGGGAGAGGACACGTGACCAGGACACGTGACCAGGACACGTGACCAGGACACGTGACTAGTATCACCAAGTGTGACTCACCGTAAAATATATATGCTTATTATGAGTTATTATACATTAAGGAAATAATTTGAGGCCATTTAACTATCACAACAAATAGTGAATTTAATTCGAATAAAGTCCGGTAATATGCATGACGAAAATGGATGGAATTTCGTCGTGTGACCGGAGCGACAAAATATGGAAATATGTCTGAGTGGCTCTTTATTCCGAATTCCTGGTGGTTGGGTCTAGCTACAATCACCCAATAACAGTTTTAAAATAGAAAAAAGTTTAATTTAAACTCTGTTTGAGGACTTTGTGAAATATGATCATACTTTTTACCAGATGAATGATCTCCAATGAAGGGTGACGAACACGTGATATAATTACAGGCTAAACTACCTGCCAAAAGCCAACTGGATGTATCAACTGAGCCAACACCGATTCGTCAGTGTCCGCCACATTCTTAGGCGTCAAACCAAACTTCTTGAGTCTCTTCATTGCACCAGCAGTGACTTCGTCTTTCGTTTGACTTGACAGCATTAGCGAGATCATAACTTGGTACCGGTAGATCTGAAGTTAATTATTTTAAAGTTACATTATATTAAAGTTGTCATATCGATATTGTAAGCTGTGTCCGAATACCAGAAAAACTAATCTTACGGTCTTAGAAAAATTAAAAACAGTGCTACTCAGTTAACAATAACAATTTAACGTGAAATTGTCGGCAATTTACCAGCCCGGGCTAAATTTTACATATTTTCACAAATAAAGAAGACAAGTTAAATTGGTAAATCAGAGTTAAAAGAGGAATCAGAATTATGAAGATTAAAATACAATGTTTTATGACGAAATTTGAGTTTGTTTTCCAGAACTTTTACCTTTAACGACTCTTTTAGTTGCATTTAAAAATACCAGCTCAGATGCCTTTTCTATGAGTTAGAACAATGTTTAGCGAAAATTCTATAAGCCTAGGTTTTTGCTATTCTGCAAAAACAAAAACGAGCTTCACATGACTGGAGTTTCGATTTTGATATGATTTCGGTCAAACTTACGCTCTCATGAAAAAGCTTAATAAATACTATGGGTTGTGCTAAATACACAGACACACGTACCTTAGGACCCTTATCAGACTCAGCATTCTTAAAGCAGCCCATAACATCCACAGGAGCAACTATATTCTTCCGCATCTCCATGATGTTATCATAGAGAGCTTTCCAGTTCGGGGGTGCTCCATTAAATTCTATTTTTATCTGCAAATAAAAGTTACTGTATCGAAATTATAAAGCAGAGCTTGTAGTTTCAAATAAGTTTACAGGTACAATTGTATGAATTGGTTCGAATTAATAATATGACGCGTTTTCATGGTCCAAAAAGTTTGGACGTATAAATCATTTTGAAAAATTGTCGTTAGTAAGAAGTATATAGGTGTAATTCATCATCATTTTCTCACAAACCTTTTTTCGAGGTTCTGATTTTTTATTTGCACGCTTTCTGCTTTTCTCAGGTTTAACATTTGGAGGTGGAGTATTATTAACAAGAGATTTCTGATGTTGTTGATACAATAACTGCTGATTATGATTATTCACAATGTACTCTTGCCTAGGCAAGGAATTCAAATTGTAATACTCATCAAACTGAATGGGCAAATGTGTCCTTTGCTGAACAACTGGTTGTTGATAAACTTGATTGACAAATGTGTTATGGAGACCGTTTTGACCATAGAAAGGATTTGGTTCAGCTTTCACATCATAACTTGAGTGCTGTCTTAAATTAGTGTTCTGAAAAGCATTATAATGTGCAATGTCTGGGTTTGGAGAACCGTTTTTCTGTCCCAGACCATTGCTGAAGCTCTGATTAAGGTTGGGGAATGATTGAGGAGCAGGCTTAGCTGAGGCAGGAGTGCATGGAGAGGGTAAAGTATTGCTGCTGTTACTATCGATTGACCACTGGGTGTCATTCACATCGCAATCAGATTCTAAGGTATGATTAGCCTCTTCAAGCAAGGAACTAAATGACATCCTGAAAAGTAAATGATAAAGAGCTTCTGATTAAACAAAGTACAGACATAGAATAACGTTATCATATAGTTTAAAGATGCAATTATTGGAACAAACCTTACACACAAAAGCAAAAATAGTTTTAATTATTTGCTTTTTTGATATTATAATATGACGGATGAATGAAAATTCCCGACTCATACATGAATCATACTGTTAATGATGTAAGTAATAACAGGGTAAACCAGAGGTTACTACCCTCAAATGATTCTCTTGTCCGAATTGCGTAAGAAAGTTTGGAGTTGGGGATATATGAGTCTAACTTATAAATTTACAATTCAATAATAATTCATGTTGTCAGAATTGCAATAAATTTGTATGTGCAGGAGGTATGGATCTTTCAATTCAACCCCCAGACCTGGATCCTCACCCCTCATTTTATAATTTCATTTTCTCTAAATAAATGTATTGAAAATGTCAATGTTGCCATGCAGAGCATCAAATAAATTTTTGTGCCATCCGCAGCTACCTTGCGAGACATATTTAAAAGGTACGAAAGTCAGTGATTTTCCAAAAAAAAACACCATATATTTATGGACTACCAAAATTTAGGTCACCATCATTATTTTCCCAAATTATTGGACTTTGTCGATTTACTATCAATTTAGTTAGTCATAAATATGATTCATCTAACAAATGGAACAGTAGTATTCGATCACGAGTAAGAAAGTAAGTAACATAGAATAAAAAATTCTAAATACCATAATTTAATTTGGGGTATAAAATGCTGTGGTTTTCGAAAAAAATCCCATATTTTCGTTCCCAAATCATTTAGTTCACCGGAATTATGTCGAATATAATTATGTCTCGTGAGGTAGTTAAGAGTGAGATATATCACTTACAGTCATTCAGCCATAAATAAATTAAACCACAAAAGGCCTCCTTGCAGTTTGCTGAGTATATAGAAGCTACAATGAGCAATTATGTCCTTCCACTCACTCTGCTAAGAAGCTGGTGTTTTGATTCTTTCAGTACACAATCCCGGATTAAAACCACTAAAGAGGCTAGGTGGCGTAGTGGTTAGAGCCTCTGCCTTCTGCTGCAGTAGTTCCAGGGCTCAAATCCCAGTGTCACTTAGTCTAAGGAGTAGCTAAGGATCTATGTGACATCAATTTGGGAACATAAAACCTGCCCTGTAAACAATGTAAAAAACCATCCACTTATAATTATTACTGAAGACGGGTTTGCAAGAATCTACGTACCTCATCACTCAATACAGTTCTTATGCTGGGCTGAAGATCAATGCCAAAAAGACGCAGTGTATGGTTGTCAAGTAAAGAGAAACCAATTTTGTGAACCTGAACCAGAGAGAATTAAATATAAATGTGTATCCCAGCGACCCTACACCGAGAGATACAGTATTGAGTTGAGAGTAGAGGGGAAACCTGTTGAGTGGGTCAGTAAATTTGACGATATGGGGATAGTTGACATCAGGATTCAGCGTGCCAATGGTGCATTTCACTGCACCAGGTCTGGAAGATATGGAACAGTAGCCTAAAAGGCTGCTGTTATCACTATTCTGTTATACAAAGCTGAAGTCTGGAACACTACTGAAAACAGATGAAGCGTTTTCCACCTGACCTTTTTGAGAAGAATTCTAAAGATAAAGTGGTTTCCAATGATGAAGTTCTCAGGCATACTGGCGTTAAGTCTATAAAAAATTTCATCGGTTCTGCTAGACTACGGACACGTTGTAAGAGTGTCAGAAACTAGGTTTTTCATTTTTTTAAAAAGGAAAAAAGGGGGACCCCAACCCATGTATCTGTATCTACAAAGTATCATCACACTACATGGAAAAATAATTATTTCTCCATCAAATTTAAAGGTAATAATTTATCAAATATTAATCATGAATAAAACAACATTACAAAATTTAATTTATTCATACTTCCCAGTGGAGTAAAGATTTATAGACGTTTCCTTGCTACATAAGGATGGAACTTGCTCTAACCAGAGCCCTCTCGCTTGCAGTAGCTTCACGCAGTAGCGTCACGCAGTACGCGTATACACATGGCTATGTGAAGGATGGAACCACAGATAATCATTGTGTTTTTCCTTATTACTGATATAACTGGTACCTTCAATTCTTGTTAAAACTTCTTTCGAAACATTCCAAAAATGAAAGTCATTTACAATATATTTAGAAATCATATTTTTTTAAAAACTTTCCAATCCAATTTTAAAACTCATTGAAACTGTCAAGCAGTTCTTCACCTCCGAAGGGAGTTTGTTCCAATAAGGAACAACCCGCTCTGGAAGAAAAGAACACTTATTTGTTTAATTGATTATTTGTTTAATTGACTGAAGATTCTTGACCTTTGTCACACTCTTACTACATCTATTGGATGAAACCTACTTGTTGCAAGGGAGTATGAACATGAATGATGAACAGCGTGCTACTTGACAATCATTGAGAATTCTGAAATGCAGTAGAATTTAATTGACGATGTCAATTCATCGCAGCTCGGCGAGGCACAGTAGCGCATTTCGCCGATGGCGCTGTGAGAAGACTCATTGAGTGCGCGGCGCGGCACAGTAACGCATCGCGCTACAACAGTAGAATTGAAGCGCAGCATGAGCAGTTTTTGACCCGTTATAGAATTTTCAGTTTTTAAAAATAAGTACTATCGTATGCTTATTTAAAAAAATTGCGCAAATTGCGCATTTTCCTTTAAATCTGAGGGCCAAATATTACGTTTTCTATAATTAGTATAATACGTCAGACGAAACCTAACTTTATTATTGATAATGAGCGTGTAACCAATCGTCGTGTAATTGCAAATGAGTTCAACAAGTACTTTGCTTCCATTGCATCTAATCTTAATGAAGTGTATTGTCATGACTATTTAAGAATATGATTTACCAACATTTACCGACTACCTCCCGAAATCCATCACATCCAGTATTTATCTTAAGGCCAGAGGGGGGGGGTAAGGGGTCAAAAAATTCTACCAAAATATTATTTTCTAAATCGATTTAATTTTTGATGACAAAAACATTGCTGCTATTCACATATTTGTAGCTGATTAACTTTATTTTATAATTGAGGTTAACCAATTTTCACAAAATTGACTATACAACATTGAGGTTAATAAAATTGAGGTTCATATTTTATTACACGCCATAATTTTTTGTTATTTCGGTCAGCAAATGTAAACTCTAAATTTTAGGTTCATAATTATCAGAAAAAGTAATATCCAAACGTGATTAAATGAGGTTAACCTCTTCTTTTAGATATAGCGAGAATAGATCAAATGATAGAGTTATTATTTTCATGGTAAGTTTACGGTATGCAAATTTCTAAATAGATGACGTGTTGATTGACTTTACTTTTATCTTGAGAAAATGAAAAAAATGAGGTTAACCATCACATTTTGGTACCGTAGGGAATATACATACGATTCTTACTTATGTAATGTACCACAATATCGAAGTGAGGTATCTATTGGTATCACAATGCCTACAACTATAATCACGTGACAAAGGTGATTTGAACTGACCATATTTTAGTAGAAGATTTTACCCGTAAATGGCTAAAAAATGAGGTTAACCTCTCATTTTTTGAATATCTGACCAGTTAATTACATGTTAACCTCAAAACCTTAATCGTTATACTGTGCAAATGTTTTACTACATATATAATAACATATTGATAAACCAATCCCAGTGTTATATGGTCTAAAGCGAGGTTAACAACCAAATTTTAAGCAGTTAGTGTTTACAGGAAGTCTTGGTTAACCTCATTTTTTACAATACAAGGACATTAACTACTGAAAGTGGCTAAAATCATTTAGGGGACGGCCAGGTCTGATCAAGAAAACGTTATTAAGTGTATAAAAAGTCCTAACTAACGAACTGTGATACATTCCAGTGAATATTCAAAATTTTGAAAACACTAAATTGCATCTATCTCAAAACACATTTTTTGACCTTTCGATTCCTTAGTTGAGAAAACTGGCCACTCCCTGATCTTGAGGTTTGGTACAGTGGTTCCTTAGACAATTGTCCTCATTTATTATGTGAGCGATTTTTTAAATTTGACTCGGTTCTCGAATTATGAGGTTAACCAGCTAAATTTTCCGAATTTTTGACATGGTTAACCTCATAATTCGAGGACCGAGTCAAATAAAAAAAATCGCTCACATAATAAATGAGGATAATTGTCTAAGGAACCACTGTACCAAACCTCAAGATCAGGGAGTGGCCGGTTTTCTCAACTAAGGAATCGAAAGGTCAAAAAAGTTACAGCCGTTTAAAGATCCAGCTTAACATGTAATTACAGGTAAACCTCAAAATTTAGCGCGCGATATCTCAGGAACGCAAGGTCAGATTTTGATCCGGTCTTTTTCTTCTTGTTCGTCTCCAGCAGCTATTATCAAATATGTGAAAACTAGAAAAGTGCCATTTACCCCCCCCCTCTGGCCTTAAAGACTGTGACAGTGCTGAAATGATAGAGACCATAAACGAATTAAAAAATGGTAAATCAAGCGACATACCAATTCATGTAATTAAGAAGTATTTCAATAGATGCATGCAAGAAGGCCTATTTCCTGAAGAACTTAAGACAGGGAGAATTAGTCCGATTTACAAAAAGGAAGATGAACAGCTTTTAGGAAATTATAGACCCGTATCGACACTACCTGTTTTTGGGAAAATACTAGAAAAACTGATATATGCTAGGTTGTATAGTTTCTTAACCTCTAAGGGAATAATTCATGAAAACCAATTTGGTTTCAGAAAAGGGCATTCCACTAGTCATGCACTTAATTATTCTGTAGAACATATTGAATCGTTAACTAGCAAAAAGCAGCACGTACTAGGTGTCTTCGTAGATCTTTCTAAAGCCTTTGATACCCTAGACCACTCTAAGCTAATAACAAAATTAAATAACTATGGTATCCGAGGAAATGCTCTAAATCTTATCTCTAGTTATTTATCTAATAGAAAACAATTTGTGGACGTTCTTGATG